TGTGTCTCACTGTGTCACTGTCTGTGTCTCACTGTGTCACTGTGTGTGTGTGTGTCTCACTGTGTCACTGTGTGTGTGTGTCTGTCTGTGTGTGTGTCTGTCTGTGTCTCACTGTCTCGCTGTGTCTCATTGTGTCTCGCTGTGTCTCACTGTGTGTGTGTGTCTCACTGTGTGTGTGTGTGTCACTGTGTGTGTGTGTGTCACTGTGTCTCACTGTGTGTGTGTGTGTGTCACTGTGTGTGTGTGTCTCACTGTGTCTCACTGTGTGTGTGTGTCTCACTGTGTGTGTGTGTCTCACTGTGTGTGTGTGTCTCACTGTGTGTGTGTGTGTCTCACTGTGTCTCGCTGTGTGTCTCACTGTGTCTCACTGTGTGTGTGTCACTGTGTGTGTGTGTCTCACTGTGTGTGTGTGTCTCACTGTGTGTGTCTCACTGTGTGTGTCTCACTGTGTGTGTGTGTCTGTCTGTGTGTGTGTCTCGCTGTGTGTGTGTCTCACTGTGTGTGTGTGTCTCACTGTGTGTGTGTCTCACTGTGTGTCTCGCTGTGTGTGTGTGTCTCACTGTGTCTCACTGTGTGTGTGTGTCTCACTGTGTGTCTCACTGTGTGTGTGTCTCGCTGTGTGTCTCACTGTCTGTCTGTGTGTGTCTCACTGTGTGTGTCTCACTGTCTGTCTGTGTGTCTCTCTCTGAGTCTCTCTCTCAGTCTCTCTCTCAGTCTCTCTCTGAGTCTCTCTCTGAGTCTCTCTCTGAGTCTCTCTCTGAGTCTCTCTCTGAGTCTCTCTCTGAGACTCTCTCTGAGTCTCTCTCTGAGACTCTCTCTGAGTCTCTCTCTCAGTCTCTCTCTGAGTCTCTCTCTGAGTCTCTCTCTGAGTCTCTCTCTGAGTCTCTCTCTGAGTCTCTCTCTGAGACTCTCTCTGAGTCTCTCTCTCAGTCTCTCTCTGAGTCTCTCTCTCAGTCTCTCTCTGAGTCTCTCTCTGAGTCTCTCTCTGAGTCTCTCTCTGAGTCTCTCTCTGAGACTCTCTCTGAGTCTCTCTCTCAGTCTCTCTCTGAGTCTCTCTCTCAGTCTCTCTCTGAGTCTCTCTCTCAGTCTCTCTCTGAGTCTCTCTCTGAGTCTCTCTCTGAGTCTCTCTCTGAGACTCTCTCTGAGTCTCTCTCTCAGTCTCTCTCTGAGTCTCTCTCTGAGTCTCTCTCTGAGACTCTCTCTGAGTCTCTCTCTCAGTCTCTCTCTGAGTCTCTCTCTGAGTCTCTCTCTGAGTCTCTCTCTGAGTCTCTCTCTCAGTCTCTCTCTCAGTCTCTCTCTGAGACTCTCTCTGAGTCTCTCTCTCAGTCTCTCTCTGAGTCTCTCTCTCAGTCTCTCTCTCTGAGTCTCTCTCAGTCTCTCTCTCTCAGTCTCTCTCTGAGTCTCTCTCTGAGTCTCTCTCTGAGTCTCTCTCTGAGTCTCTCTCTCTCAGCCTCTGAGTCTCTCTCTGAGTCTCTCAATCTCTCTCTGAGTCTCTCTCTGAGTCTCTCAATCTCTCTCTGAGTCTCTCTCTGAGTCTCTCTCTGAGTCTCTCTCAGTCTCTCTCTCAGTCTCTCTCTGAGACTCTCTCTCAGTCTCTCTCTGAGTCTCTCTCTGAGTCTCTCTCTGAGTCTCTCTCTCAGTCTCTCTCTGAGTCTCTCAATCTCTCTCTGAGTCTCTCTCTGAGTCTCTCTCTGAGTCTCTCAATCTCTCTCTGAGTCTCTCTCTGAGTCTCTCTCTGAGTCTCTCTCTGAGTCTCTCTCAGTCTCTCTCTCAGTCTCTCTCTCAGTCTCTGTCTGAGTCTCTGAGACTCTCTCTGAGTCTCTCTCTCAGTCTCTCTCTGAGTCTCTCTCTGAGTCTCTCTCTGAGTCTCTCTCTGAGACTCTCTCTGAGTCTCTCTCTCAGTCTCTCTCTGAGTCTCTCTCTGAGTCTCTCTCTGAGACTCTCTCTGAGTCTCTCTCTCAGACTCTCTCTGAGTCTCTCTCTCAGTCTCTCTCTGAGTCTCTCTCTGAGTCTCTCTCTGAGACTCTCTCTGAGTCTCTCTCTCAGTCTCTCTCTGAGTCTCTCTCTGAGTCTCTCTCTGAGTCTCTCTCTGAGTCTCTCTCTCAGTCTCTCTCTCAGTCTCTCTCTCAGTCTCTCTCTGAGACTCTCTCTCAGACTCTCTCTGAGTCTCTCTCTGAGTCTCTCTCTGAGTCTCTCTCTCAGTCTCTCTCTGAGTCTCTCTCTCAGTCTCTCTCTCTGAGTCTCTCTCAGTCTCTCTCTCTCAGTCTCTCTCTGAGTCTCTCTCTGAGTCTCTCTCTGAGTCTCTCTCTGAGTCTCTCTCTCTCAGCCTCTGAGTCTCTCTCTGAGTCTCTCAATCTCTCTCTGAGTCTCTCTCTGAGTCTCTCAATCTCTCTCTGAGTCTCTCTCTGAGTCTCTCTCTGAGTCTCTCTCAGTCTCTCTCTCAGTCTCTCTCTCAGTCTCTGTCTGAGTCTCTGAGTCTCTCTCTGAGTCTCTCTCTGAG